AGGCGCCTACGGGGGTGTCCGGTAAAGCCACCGCAGCCGCCTGTCCCCAGCCCTGTTACAGATTTGTCGCTGAAGCGCTAAACCTATTTCCATCAGTATTCAATTCATCATAATAATAATTGTGTCATTACTGTAAGGGGTGTTAATTATTGATGCCCAAAGCAGTAATTGGTATCTATTATGGCCGATGTGGCCTCGGCATCACTTTTCTCCCCCGTACTTGGGGGTGAAAGGCCCCGGGGCACAGGCAGGCCCGGGGCGGGCAGGGGGGTGTGGGGAACCCCACCTTTCCTGGTGCCAGCAGGGACGGCGTGGCTGGGAGCTGCAAAAGCCCTGCCCGGTTTGGGGGTGCGGGGCCGGGGAGAGGGGCGGGATGGGACCCCGGCGCTGTGGGCAGGAGGGAACGGTGCAGTTTTTACCTTCTGTTCTGGTACCACGTTTTCACCTGCGTGTCGGTGAGGTTGAGGGAGGCGGCCAGCTCCATCCTGTCCTGCACGCTCAGGTATTTTTGCCTCTCGAAGCTGCGCTCCAGCTGGGCCAGCTGATGGTCGGTGAAGGCGGTGCGGGCTTTGCGCGGCTTTTTCAGCCGCACCGGGGGGCTGTCCCGGGAGCTGGAGATCTCTCGGTCCCCTTCTTCTTTCACTGGGCCGAGAGGGAGGAAAAGAGGCCAGGTCAGGGCAGGAAGGGAAGGGAAATACCCTCAAAGAGGGGGTAACCCTCTGCAGCCCTGAGCCGGAGGAGAGGGGCTCAGGCACCGCACCGGGCTCACGGCGCATTTGCTCTGCAACCCCGCGAATTTTAACCCCGGCTGCCCACGGGGGACTGGCGGGGCCCCCGGCCGGGCTCGGCCTTTCCCCGTCCCGGGGGCCCGGGAGCGGGGCCGGAGCGCGGGGCTGTGCTGCGGGGAGCCCGGCCCCGCCGCGCCCCTGCCCAGAGAAGCCCCCGCATCTCCCTCACCCCGCATTTCTCACGGGGCAGGAGCCTGCTCTGGGCTTGTTCCCCCAAACCCAACAGCTTTCTCCACGCTTAGATATTTTTTTCCTTCTTTTCTCTCTTTTTTTTTTTTCCTTTTCCCTTTCTTTAAACCCAAAACAAAACCAACCCAAAATAAAAACCCTGAGCCCACATTCGTGGAGGGAAAAGTCGCCGGGGTGGTTCTGTTTCTCCCCCTCGGCGGAGAAGCCTCCGTCCTCCCGGGGATGCTGCCGGGGCACGGAGCAACCCTCCCCTCCCGGGGCGCCCAACG